ACCACGGAGGTCGTCGTTAAAATATTTATTTTACTTGCACCAGCATCATCGGTAATAATATATTACCGGCAATTTATTATCGGGCCTAATATGCTACTCAGATTCCTAAGTATGTAATAGGTAAATGTCACTGTTAGTTACTTAGAGTCCTAATACTTATATTCAGAAGGGTGTAAATATGTATCGAGCGCCCGGCACTGGTGCGCAAGAACCTGTTTTTATTATCTTCGCTAACTTATAATGCTACTTCTGCAGCGTTGGTTACTGCATGCACACACGCAAGGGTGAGCTAATGTGTGCCTACAGGTTTATTAATATCCCCACTGCTGGAGCACAGACGTTCCTGATGACCTATAGAACGGGCCCGGGAGGAAACGAGAAAACGAGAGAACCTAGTGCGGATTGGTAGGGTCTAACTAAGCAGCTGGGACCAATGGCTTATCGCAACTTCAAGAGCTCGTAATAGCTTGAAAAAAAATGTTTTTTCCACCCTTATCACTGGCCATTGCGAAGGTTGCTAATCTTCCACGATCGGAGATCATAACCAGTGCTTGCGTTCAACTTAATTATAACTTTAAAAAAACACATGTTGAGATTAAGCAAGTCCGATAAATGTAGTTGTAGTCCGATACGATGGTGTATATGTAGTAACGTCATAACAATAATCTAGTGAGTTTTCCATTGTTCTTATTCATTAAATTACGCTCACAGTTAATTAGACTTCAAGACCGTTATACAAGCGTAATTTGCTTTGTAGAGATAAATGTAAATAATTAATGCCTTGGTGCCTTGACTCTTTGGCTTGGTTTACTAAGTACAACTACGAGTTTTCAAAAGGAGTTTCTCTATAGATACGTCTCGTTAGCCGTCATGCATGTTTAAATCTTTCAAATTACTTCTTCAACGGTAATTACCTATTTTCATAGTTAATAATGCATACCTTCAGTGCTTTTGTGATATAGAATTTACAAAACGTAATCCGATAATCATATTTTAAATCGATAGTAATTTCTAACCTATCCATAATATTATATTTATTTTAATAATTTAACTGCTAGATGTTTAAATCAAAAGATTTCTTTTTCTAGTAAACTTTTCTGTATCCATAATATTTTTGACTAATTTAAATAGATTTTGATGCCTTTCTTTTGTAATTAAAATATATTATTAGTCAATACTTATATGTGTATACCTCGTTTGCTGAAAATTATTAAGAATGAAGGAATCATTAAAATACGAGGCCAAGTACAAAATATAACCTTATAACAATAAAAGAAAAACCTCTTCCTAAGATAATATTTTCAGTTGATATTATAAATAATGAACACAATAGGCTAGTTTACTCATGTCGAATTGTATTAAATAAATGTTTATTTCTTAAAGTATTTAGTCTAATGAACCTTAATAGATCGATTTCACTTCATAAAAGCAGAAGATTGCTGTAGAAATTTAATTTTAAAAAATATTTTTTAGTCTATATTTTTTAAACATTAAAAACGCTGTTCGCCACATCCGCCATGATTTTGAAGTCTCTTGTGGTAAAATAACTAAATGTCATTCGCGTGTTACTGTAGGTGGATTCTTTCGTCTGACTAAATTTATCTTAGAACACTTTTAACTTTAGGAAAGAATAAAACAGTAAACTAAGTTTTTTTTTGACAAAACTAATTATGGATGCCGGCTTTGTGAAAGCAGAAAGCACATATCTGCCAAGAATTGACGCATTGATGGTTGGTGAATTTGTTGCACTAAACCCCGACTTCTGCTCTGCGGAGCAGAGAAACGACAAGGCAACTATGTAAGTACAGTGCATTTAGTATTACAATGTAGTAATAAATATAAAACTGATACAACATATAAATAAGTGTAATAAAGTTGCGTAGGTTAATTTATTTCTTTCGGCACTTTAATCCACAACTTTCCTGGAGTCTTCAAGGATGTGTTTTTATATTCTCGTACAATACAGTAATGATAATTATTTTATTTTTCGTGGTATTTATTGGAAATCATGTTTCTTTTTTATTATAAACTCAGTTAAAAGTAATTTTCTACGTGCTTACGAGTTTTTGTTTACCACAGTTCACGTCATAGCATAGATAATCTATAGACTAAAATGGCCGACAGCGTTTTTGTATGTCCATGAAAAGTCTATTTTAAAATTAAAGATTTGTAGCTTTCTAGGTTTAAAAAAAATACAATACATTTTTTTCGGTCTAATAGAACATTTATTAACCATTTAAAACCTTTTTCCAAAAAGGGTCAACTAGCCTATTATACATACATAACTCAAGAAAAAATATTTCTACAACTTCCATTATAAACTATTTTAAGAAATACATATTTAAATAAAACTAGTTTTTACGGGTTAATGCACGAAACTTTATTTATTTATTGACGTTTCGCAGCCTTTTCAGGTCTGCATCGTCAGAATAATGATAGTCTTTCGAAGGTAGCTCGACAATTTAAATAAAAAGTCATTCAGTCAGAAGAGATGGCGCTGCCTTGCAGCTTAAGGCTAGGAAAATTTCGACGCGGCTAATAGGGCCGTGGTAGCATAATGGTCAGTGCATTCCCCGGATTGCGAAGGATGCGGGTTCGAGTCCCGTCCGCTGCCTGGTCCGCGTGGATTTTTTCTAGTAAACTTTTCTTTAAATAAGAAAACTTAAAAAAACATTTATTATTATGTACTTACTCTAATTAATTTACTTAGCTACTATTTATGTTTAAGTAAATATTTTTACTTATTTTTTTAGAAGTGAAGTACATATTATTATTTTTTCCTAAACACTTATTGTAATACTAAATTACTAATATTCTACATCCCACTAAAAGGGGAAAGTGCTCCAGTGAATGAACACCCCCAGTGAATAAACATAAGTGAGTTTTTTAGTAAATGAGAAGACTATAGATTTCCTCTAAACACAGATTTTTTTACGATAGAACAAGTTGAAATACATAAACTGTTCAAACAAAAATTATTCAGTAAGACATAATTTACAAAATGGTGACTGTTTAAAGTTGACGCGTTGTCTTGCGTCTGTGTGGTATGAATAAGAATTAAGGTCTCAAGATACTTTTTATCCCGGAAAAATGACAGGTTCCTGTGGGATTCTGGAAAAATTAAAGTTAACGCGGACGAAGTCGCAAGTGGCCGCTAGCTATAAATATGAAGGTTTGTATGTTTGTATGTTTTTACTCAATCACGCAAAAACGGCTGAACAGGTTTGGATGTAATTTTGGTACGCATAAAGCTTATGACCTGGACTGAGACATAGAGAACTTTTTATAACGATAAAATGTCAGGATCCTGTATATTTGTTAAAAAACTAAAATTAAATCGGACGTCCTAGTGCTACTAATATTAGTAATGTAAAAGTTTGTATGTTCTTTACTCAATCAATTAGGTTATTGTGGGATTCTTTAAAAAAACTTAAGTGAACGCGGACGAAGTTGCAGGCGGCCATCACTTAAATGAAATCCTATAAATATTACAAATGTAAAGGTTTGTATTTTGTGTGTTTGTTTGTTTATTACTCAATTATGCAATAATTTTAACGACCTCCGTGGCCAACGCCGGGTTTCATGGTGTGTCGCCGACTCGAGAGATCGAATCCCGGTAGGGGCAAATGTTTGTGTGATGAATACGAGAATTTGTACTCCAGTCATGGATGTTTAATATGTATTTCTATATAAATATACTTATATATGTATAGTATATGTATTCTACCCGTTACCCTTGCATCCCATAACAAAAGCCTTATAGTGCTTACTTTGGGACTAGGCTAATTTGGTGTGAGTGTTGGAAATCTTCTTTATTAATTACTTAAAGAATTTGGATGCAATTTGGTACACATATAGTTTATAACCTGTATTGAGACATAAGATACTTTTTCCACTAAAAAATATAGGCTCCTGAAGGATCCTCATAACTAAAACTAAACTAAATAGTTAAATGTTTTAGTTATAACTAAGTACCTACCTATTATTGTAATTAAGTGCGGCTAGAGAGTTTGGTATACATAAAGAACTAATACCTACTGAGATATGTAGTTATATTTATATTATTGCGACCAATCTCAAGGAATTATGGATTAAAAAACTAGCATTTTCTTCAGCTAAGTCCGTACTTAAAAGAAGAAAAAGGTTTAGAAAAACTAGATCCATGATTTACTTCCGGATTCAGATATGGAACTTTTTAATATATCTTTTACGAAACGGGATCAGTACAAAGATTTATAATAAAGATTAATAACTTGCCAAACTAGGTACTGCTGAATCATAGGTGTTGGTTAACAACATATAAGCGTTTAGCTCGTCTGTCACAATCGCAATATCGGATGGATTTAAACCAGCAGGTTACAATCTGCAATGAAACAAGAGACGAAAGCGGGTCGACCAACTCGCTTATATAAACATTGAGCCCACTTTACGAATACTTTGCTGCACACAGCTTATATTTCAACTGAGTTTGTTGAGTGTTGTTTACAATTTGTTTTCATAAATGAATGGATCATTTCTCCTAGCCTTTGCACTTCCCTGTGTCAACGTATCTTTGTAGATAGGTACCTACTCAAACAATAGAAATCTGTAGACGTAATTCAAACAAAGTTTTCGCCATAATATTGTGGATCTAATATTTTATTAATATCTAAGTAAGTTTCACATTGCTATTATGTCAAACGATCCCAACTGCTGAGAAAACCTTTTGCACCATTTTCATTGCAACAAAGAATGAGAAAAATACTATGAATCTTATGTTTTGTTTGCGATAATTTGAAACAGTACAGTAAGATTTTTGAGATTCAAAGTTCATGAACTATTTTGTTTATTTACTTCTAAAATTGTTAGTAACATTACTTTTTTAAGTAGTTATTGCACTAGATAAATCACAAAATCACGTTCACTAACTTATTATTTTTTCTAACATGTATTATTATACAGGTATATCATTATAGCACTTCTACTTAATAGGAAATATTACCACGTTGTGTTGCACTCACCGGGGCATTGTTGCACCTCTGTGGCGACAGCGGCGGCGAGAAGCGCGAAGAAAAACGTGAGCGAAGTGGAGGAGGCCATGGTTACGTCTGTTAACTTGTTTCTAGTTAGTGGCGCGAGCTCACTGCACCGACCGACCGCACGCCTTCCCCTCCTAATACCATCACATATTTACTCACAGCCAAGATTCATCCTTAAAGACAACTCAGTAAAGATCCAAATCGTATACCTCCAACACCAAGGATCGCAGTTTTTAGGATCTGTACTACAGCAATTATCACAACCAGTAGGTACACATTATTATTAGTATACATGTGATTATCACTCGGATACTGGCACGATGAAGTTCTGACGTCCTATTGGACTTTGATTTCGGAATAAGAATTATTGAGCCTTTGTTTATGAATTAATTTATATTCGTCCTAGAGGTTGTCATTTTAATATCATATGTAGGTCATTGTTTTAGAATTTATGCGGTACTTAATGGACTGGACTGCGAGCTTAAAAAAACAATAAATGCGCCAGTTTCAACGTTCTTACGCAGATAGTAGGCAGTTATCCTGTTTACCTGTGTAATCAGAACGCAAGCTAGGTAGGGGAGACCGACGGGAGTGGAAACAGGTTTCACATTTTGTTTCATACACCAAATACTATAGACAGAAATCGTATGATATTAGTACCAATCGATAGGTCATTCTTTACACTTGCGAATAACTAACATAAAGAAATTGTAAGCGTTAAATATTGTGGTGAAAAACCGTAACAAGTCAACTTGTTTTAACTCCCCTCATACTGAGGTAAGATGAAATAGGGGTCGAGGAGAGATGAAACATATGATTTTTGAGAAGTTTTAAAGGTTGTAAAATAAAAATGATGATCTAAGCTCACGGAGTACCCCCACTAGAGTCCGCATCACGCAAATTTTGTTTGAAATCAAAATCGCCAAAGTCGGTGGCGTGCAGGGAGATCAGCCGCGTTGTGATTGGACACGTCAAGGTCAGATGATATACTCAGTGCAGCGAAGTGATGAGGGTAAGATCGATTTTAGAAAATATCGATATTTTCTATCGATAAATAAAGGACACCCGGCATTATGTGCCAAAGTTGTACACTTTTTTAATTTTTTTATCTGTGTTTCATAATTGGGTAACGTAGTCTGGCAATATTTGTCATCAGCAGCTAGCTGTCAATGTCAAATACGTAGGTTTGTCAATATAACCTCTATATGTAGCCGGGTCGTCAAGAGAAATAACGGATAAAAAGGCGGGATAGGATGCGAAATGCGAATGATTTTTTTGTTTGTATTTTAGGATTGTCAAATTGACATTTGGTTTTTTATTTAGAAAAAGCAAAGGAATCATGGTTTTTACAGTCACTTGAGTAATATTTTCAAGTAAAATTCTGTCCCTTGAAGATTTAGGGTTTCCATATCAAAAAACATTAATCATTATATAACTTCTTTCCACGATTCACTAAAAATAAGGCAAAATTAGTTTAATGTAGCAAATAATTTTGGCTTCATTTTGAGACCAAATTCAACTGTATACAAGTTTAGCATTTTTTCTATGAAAAGTGCCGGTTCTCCATTGTACAGAGGCCTAGTACTTTGGTGCGCTAGTGTAGCTATGCGCAAACATACTCTCTCCACTTTCTTCCAGCGTTCTAATTACATGACGCGACTAGTAACTACATACTAAATAAAATATAAGCAACACAAAAAACACGTAAAAAAATATCTAGATAGACAATAATATGCTGTTTATGACAACTTTTAAAACTTAAGGCGCCTTACTCATCGGCTCGGTACAGGTTCGTTTTGTTTTCGGGAGTGACTGTCAGTGGTAAAGTGACGAGAACATATGTAACTGTTTACAGTTGGAGTCCAATCTTTACGTTTAGTTGCACTTATCCAAAGTTCCTTCATCTTGGCACATTTTGGAAACCTATGAAATAAATAAAACACGTAATGTTACTGTATTTTGATTCTCGCATCAGTCTGTAAGAAATCACCTTAAATATCTCTTTAAAGATTTTGCTCGTTGCTGTTCTCGTGAAAGGCACATGCGATATACAGACTTAATGAATTTAATATTAATACGGTGACGTCCGTGGCTCTTGACTTAGCACACGCAAAATAACCTAAGTATAACCAAATTATTGATTTTGAAGGAACTTGGTAAATACTTATCAAAGTTTATGCTAGCTCCCACCCGCGACTTCATCCACGTTAACTTTAGTTTTTTGAAAATCCTAAAGAAACCTGACATTTTTCCGTTACAAAAAGTATTCTATACAACGATATTTTATACCCTAGATACGACAACATGTACAAAATCGTGGCCGAAACGTGACCAAAAGGTACATTTGACGATTCACAGAGGTCCGTAAGATGATCGCGTGGTCAAAAACAATGTAATGCATTATTTAAAAAAAAGTCACCTTTAATGCATACGGCATAAGCTCTTAATTAAAACGCATGCATCAAAGATTTATGGCAGTTCAAAATGCAAGTTCCTAAAATTTTACGACTTATTGTTATATGCGAAAGAAAATAGACCTTATTTTTTTTAACTTTTCGCGCTCAATTCTGAATGTGCTGTTAGCTATTATAGCAGGTACAGACCGCGAAGAAAAAAGACGGCTATAGGGCGACGTATAACCGACCATGCTTTTGAGTATCACAAATATGTTATATTAAATCAGTTTATAGTAAGTATTACAATAAAATTTGCTTCAAATGCGTTAAATTTATAATAATAATAACGTTTATTTGGCTCAAATTATATAAATAACTTATTGTATTACATAAAGATGACTATGTACCAAATTATAAAAACATTAATTAGATACCTGTCGAAAAAACAACACTTTACGTACTATTAGTATTTTTTTCGCATTTTTACGGAGCTCTGCGGCATTTTGACTTTTCATCGGTCCGCGCGTGACTGTAAACCAAAAAGTGCTTGAATAAAGTTTAAGCACTTCTTGATTGGGACACATTTTGAGCGATCGTGGTCTATCTAGGGTATTTAATATCGTTAATTCCATGTCTTTATCTAGGTCATAAAGTATGCGCACTTAATTTCATACAAATCGGTTTAATCGTGTAATAGTAACACACATCCATACAAATTTTCGGGTTTAAAATTTTAGTACGATATGATTAAAAACTGTTGGTTGTATACTCATGATATCTGTTATTGTATACGATGAAATAAATAGTTTTTATTTATTTTTTCTATTTCCGTAGCTGACAAACTTATCGATAAACTTACGGGTACAGACATGAGCTGCGTCAAGTCACTAGCAATACACGTGCCGGTGTGAGAGCGGAATAGCATATATGATGTAGCGCATGCGAGAAAGGGATAGTGTTAAAAGACATCAACGCGTTCACCAAAAAATAAATACATTTAAAAGCAATTTCATATAAGAGTATTTTTGTCTTTTTGTAATGCATTTAAACTTACAGGTGAAAAGTAATACCATCTTTTTGAAGACTGGAAGTTTTACTTCACTTTCCACATAATTTAATTGCACAGTACGGCATTTTTTCTAGTTTTTTAACGCAAAAACGAGAGAAGCACTTCTGCTAACGCTCGGCTTCGGAATGAAACGATGTATAGCGACGTCTGTGGGCGTGTCTCACGCATACGTAATATACTACTTAAGCTTGGCGTAAGCGCTTGCCCTTGTATGCGGACTCTAGTGGGGGTGCTCCATGTCTAAGCTACAATTTAGTAGTACTCAAAGTACATGACCTGTTTAATGGGACGTGGTTACTAACATTTGTAAGATATATTTTTTTCAAAAATAATTTACAAAGAGGTGTGTTTTTGTGTTTTTAGTAGGTACTCGTACGTACGTCGCTACACCTGCGCCTTCGCGTAGTGCACAAGCAATTTTCTTATTTTATTCCTTAGATTAATAATGTTTATTCTTTAGAATAGTCTCCTGAATCGGTATACCTAAATCTGGTCGCTCAGATCACAGCACGGTAACAGTAACATTAATTGAATATTGCTGATTATATACAGTGGTGTATTTTAAAATCTGGCACCCCGGGCCACTTACGATTTGCACCCCTTTTTTACCCGACTGCGCAATGCAAGAGCGCGAAGCGCGACGCGCAGATCGGGTATAGTGTTTAACAGTCTATATATGTATGTATATAGACTGTTAAACACTATACTCTGTCTGTGCTCCCTATATAACATATGTACATATGTTCCTTTGCACACTACAGACCAAACGCCTGCACCGATTTTGACAATTCATACTTCAATCGATTCGTCGTAATCATGGAAGTACTACTAAAGACAGGAGATAGTAAACGAAATCAATATGGGGACAATGAGGCGCCATGTTTTGACAAAGAACAAAAAATAAGTTGACTGAATATGTCGAGTATCATTGTCTAGATAATCGAAAATCATGTTTAGGTTTCTTCCCATGTAGTATCATGTCAATAATGTTTAGGATCCACAGCGATTTAAAGTTGTTAAATAACCACTTGCGCTTTTAATTTCAATCTTACATTTGTTATCTTATAACTCTATAATCTTTGTTACTCTTTCACCCAAAAAAACTGAATGGATTTTAATGAAACTTTAAATAATATAGCTCATATATAATAATAACATAAAAATAATAATTTATGTAGTTATTGAGTGAATTGGCCAAAATATAACAATAAGTGTCACGTAAGACGGAAAAACATCACCCATCTGCCTGCACTGCAAAAACAATAAATGTTAAATGAATTTAATGTATAGTGTAAATGTATCTTTTATACAGTTCTACAAAAAAGTCCGGGGCGGCAAATATCTATTTTTAACTAGTGGCCTTGCTTCGCTTCAGTGTAGAGCTGTAGTGTAGAGTACCTACGGCCCGTATTATAGAAAGATTCTCAGTAATGAATCTAGTCTTGAGCATAGATAGAAAGGGATGTCGCTATATATAGCACATAGCAATATATATTTCTAACTGTACTCAAGTAGAGATCAACACTTAGTTGTCATTCTATAACACGGGCCTTAAATGACTCTTCATATAATTATAAAAAAAAATTAAAATGGTATATTTGCCTTTTCCAAAC